TTAACCTTCTTAGTCTCAACACACTCGAGGGCAACAAACAATAATTAGAATAGATAATATATCGTATGGGTTTCTTCACAGATTCTAATTAATATCCTTCCCGGTAGGCCTACTACCGCCTTACGGCCCCATCGGATGCATACACCTGATTTAATTTAATCGGTACAATTGTTGCAATGTCCTTCACGTTCTGTCTAAGATACACGCGCCCACGCGCATTTCGCTCGCTCTTCAGCTATATATATATAGTTGACACACACAATTTCTTGCATCCTCGCAAGCACACACATGCGCACGCACGCACGCACACACACACATACACGCGCGCGCGCGCGACTTAATGCGTATTAATTGGTTCAGCAGCTGCACAGTAACAATCAACCTAATCTGTTTTCTCGCGTAGTCTTCAGCCTCGTGATTTGCCCTATTGATATCGAGACGTCGCGTGAGTGAGTAGTACGAAGTAGTCGGTCGGGACTTTACCGATAATAAAAGAAGGAAAAGTTACAAATGACATACATTTACAAAAATCGTATACGTTCTCGGACAAATTAACAATGACGGATTAAAATGAGAGTTAATTACCGAACATAATTCGTCATCGTTATGGATTCATTTTGGAGCTTTTGTTCTCTAGCGTTCATGCGCGTATATAATACGCTGCGCTAACACATTCTGCTATTGTGACAACTGTCACATGGCGAATACAGAATGCAAACAGCCCCTCACAGTCTGCTATTAATGATCCATCGTAGCGTAACATGAAGGAAACCCGGTAGTTTGTCCGTTTACTATAATTGTGATGAAACGAAATCTTGCAATAGCTAAATTTGATGATATCATAAAAAAACCCACGATACAACGATAGCGCATATATAGACCCAGGTTCTACTAATTTTCTCATACTTCTGTGATAATTAATACTTCTGAGTTAATGACACACCGTACGCACCTTGTAAATATAAAAGATGATTGCACACTATGATTACGGTCATTATAACTGTTTTACAGATTTGTTATAACGGTTTTGTGGTGTTTTTCTGGTGGTAATTAATACTTCTGAGTTAATGACACACCGTACGCACCTTGTAAATATAAAAGATGATTGCACACTATGATTACGGTCATTATAACTGTTTTACAGATTCGTTATAACGGTTTTGTGGTGTATGCATCATTAGAAATTTACCTGACCTGACTGAGTAAGTCATACCTTATTAATTCGACTAGTTGTACATAATTGCACAATATATATCTTACTGGTAACAATATTTTACAAACACTGTTATAAATCGAAAGAAAGGAAATCCCCTTTATAAGCGTACTGTGATCCTGACTTTTTTGTTCAAACTATTAAATTAATTTCTTATATAAATCTAAACCCTGAAAGTCTGTCTACTATCTTCATAGTCAGTTACAAAAATAATCGAGCTAAGAGTACAGATTTATCGAATATAATAGACAAAGTGCTACACATATGAACTCATCGGTTTGCGAATGTGCGATACTGTCACGTATTTCGATAGTCAACCATTAACAAATATCTCTCCAAACGCCTTAAAAAATATCAAATATTAATACCAAATATCATACTAACCACATCATATATACTTAGCGATATATAGGGTCTAAGATAAAATATATGTCGCTGAATGCGGAATCGTTTTAAACTTTCAACCAACCAAATCCATATTTGGGTGTGATCAAAATTATCACAAAACACTGCATAAATTCTCGTAAAGATCTCTCGTAATGCTCGAATTATAATCGTTTTATATATTACAAGATTCTATGTACTATGGATTCCATTGCATCACGCGGATAGACTAAAGCATGAAATTGTATCTTTAAAGGTGACGCAAGGATTCAGACGTACGTGATGTGCGTGTCACATCTTCACGCGTGGAAATGTGATTTTACAAAAGTCTAGTATCTCCTACGACAAGAAATTACTGGAAGTGGAAGACAGTGAAACCAATGAAACGAAATGACTTCACGACTATAGACACTGTTGCTATGCGAATCGATGAAACGCTGAAGAAAATTTCTCGCCACATCAAAGTGCTGCGAACCAGCTAGTTGCTAACGATAAAATTTTGCTACAAGATTATTATTGATAATGACTTGTAATTATTCCGGTGGGGGATTCATCGTTACGTCTATAAATTGGCCAAGCCAACGCTTCCAGTCGCCACTTGCATAGTCAGTGATGCACTGCTGACTCAGACGCAATATTTGTTCACAAATGCTTATCACGTGTCTGTTCAGTGATTACTCATTCATCCTATTACCACACGGCAAGTTTCCGTTCTTTCAATAGGAAATTTGTCTCTCGTTCAGCAAAATTGCCAAATGGAAATGTAGATTTAACCACTGGTCAAACATAGGCCACAATAAACTGATGTTGCCGTGATGAAAAAATGTCCAACAACAATGAATGCTGCCAGTTTCGCAAACACATTTTAAAATGTTTATACGAGTATGGTATCTCGATCACTATGTTTACGCGATGTTACAAATTCTGTGCAATAGCATTCATGCGCCAAGATAGCATGTATGAGTTAAACACCTTACATGATGGATTGTCACGGTGACAAACATCATATAATTAAACAGTCATTCATAGTGGATTTAATAGTTAATCGACTTCACAGACCATGCATGGTTGTGAAGTACGTACGTGTATGCTCCAGCTCTCTACCGACTTTAAACAGCTATTGTCATCTAATATTTAGACAGAGCTATAGCGGAATGGACGAAATAGCTTAATTAAGTGTTATGCAGAAATAAACTAAATAATTTCGAATTACGCAGTTCAACCATAGTTACAGATATAGTCACACATAAAAATCATTATTAAAGTTTTAGCTATGTTATATGCAAGTCGTGCTATACTACGTCAGACAGCCATAAGACAGAGGCACCACAGAATCTAATATGTTAAATGAACTTAGATTGTGCCAACCACTGAATGGTATATTGCAAAAACATATTTCTCAACCATCGGTCACGAATGCTCGTAATGCTGAGAATCAATATATTCGGAACTTAATACTATATACTATACTACTAGAAACATGTAGATTTCACTATTATAAATGAGATTGTGGCGTTAATGGTACAGTATTATAAAGAATGTCTGCTGGAGGACGCCATTTTGTATTGTTCAGACGATGTTACTCGACCGTGTTCCTTGTAAATGCTGAATGGGCACAAATTGGATTGCTTAATTTTGCACAACGAAATACGATGGGCAGCGCGGGCGTATAGACGTGAAGGGCATGTATAGCGTGTGTCCACCACTAATCACTGCTACCGGTTCGGCACCGTATGGGGTAACGTCCTCTTACGTGTCCGTTCCTACATAGGGTGTTGCTATCCCCGGGCGTGGAGGGACAGTCACGTGATACAGTTGACGTATACTTCAAAGTCCAAATCTTCCACATAAAGATTCCACAGTCATACCTCCGTTAGACATGGCCTTATATCCCTAACCCTAACCCTAACCCTAATCCTAACCCTAACCCTAACCCTAACCGCAACCCTAACCGCAACCCTAACCCTGATCCTAACCCTAATCCTAACACTAGTGCTGCCACATTGCGGTACTGTCCCTCTACGCCCGGGGGATAGCATTTCCCTCCTACATAGGCCTATAGTGAAACATAATAAGGCGTTAACGTGCGGAGTTAACGTCGCGATGCCTCGTGTCTGCTCTAATTAAGATATATCATTCGGATGCGAGTCGCATAAATATATGCATGAAGAAAGCGACCTATGTGCGTACTAGGAATTTTATAATTTCTCTATGTGGAGGTGGTCACTGTCTGTTCGGCTGTTTTGCGTGCAAAATTACGAAGTAATAATCCGGCAGTAGCTTTGCAGGAGCGCCGGATTCTATATAGTCACTAATCATGACTATGACACGAAAATCGCACACAGCGCAAAAGAAAAAGGCCACGCGGCTTCAATAACGTCACGTCGTCTGTCGTCTGCCGGGGTCAATATAATCATTTTTTAGTGTCATCGAAAATCTTTCCATTTTCATAACCAGATATAGATGATGCTAGCTTATCCATATTATGAAGAGCACATAAACTGTGTATATGATATATGTGCGTGTGAGCACGTGCATGGGTGCTTTCAGGCGTATGCATAATGATGATAATATATATATATATATATATATATATATATATATATATATATATATATATATATATATATATATATATATATATATATATATGCTCCTGATATTACCATAACTGTGGCATTATATGGCTGCCGTGGCGAGTGAAGAAGGCTTGCCTGCTTATCGACTACAGTCGGCCCCTATTGGCTAATGCCACGCCGAGTCAGGTTAAAGGTCTTCATCAAGTGTATAACAAAGTGTATTACAAATAGCACCGAGCAAGGGATCGTATATTAAAGATACTTGATATATATGTATTAATATATATAATATATATGAATAAATGGAGTTGTTCGGATAAATAAATGAAAATATATACCATATATTATAATTCGATTCGTAGGCACATAGTGTAAATAAAAATATAATAGATATAATATCTGAATAATAGATCATATTATTATTATCTACTATTGGTTTACATTTAGCTGAAGCGAATCTAAATTGATTATTTATATGGCTATGCGTATTTTATACATATTCACTCGGTATACATTTGTCGTGAAATAATCCATGCCGGCGTGTCTTCAACATGTAAATAGATACGAGAAGTGAAAAGTTTTATATCAGTCAAATTCAGGGTGTACAAATACAGCGTCTGACCTTGATAATGTGTGGTAGATTGAGCATCGAATGTTATTACCTTACACATGCGTTCTAGCGTACTAACACGATCGCCACCATAATCTGCAGATATCAACCAAATGTAAAAAATACAATGTCAGTCACCATAATACGGCGTTACATACGATTAAGCAAGTTAATATACTTGAATCAAGCACGCATATAACAGCAGCCGGCTTACCTGATTTTCATCTCTCTGCACGGCGTGGACACGACAGATTGGATACGCTTCCACACGACGGTGCTTTAGGTAACGAATGGTTCTCCTGGTCAAATCTCAGACACACCGCGTACAGCCTCTACACAGATGTTTGGGGATGGATGCAGCAGCAGTACCAGCTGTACACTTGCAGCCTCCCACGGCACTGGCTGCTACGGCAACCCCGCGCAAATATCAATACCCAGATAGAGCTTACACATTGCTATAGTAGTCGCCTGTACCAAATTCTGGATCTAACTATTCCTAATAGATGGGGGTGAGGTTAAGACGGCAAGGCATACGTAGTTGCTGTTTTTATTATAATTTTTGCATGCTAATAGAATGTTCTTGATCTTTAACCGTGTCTCATTTCTTGAATGAATCTACTCATAAGTAGCTCAAGCGAACGTCAAAATTGTCTGCCATAACAAAAACCCAATCGTAAATCTATTCTACTACAATAACCAACTCTGTCTGTCTGCTATGCATTCCGCCGATCACCGGGTAGGGGTACCTATAGGCACCGCATCACCGGGGCACTGTGAGGGGCACCTAAGCACATTTAGATCATATCCAGAAGAGACCGGATACTAGAGATATAGCGCATATATATATATATATATATATTTATTTATTTATTTATTTATTTATTTATTTATTTATTTATTTATTTAGAGAGAGAGAGAGAGAGAGAGAGAGAGAGAGAGAGAGAGAGAGAGAGAGAGAGAGAGAGAGAGCGCGCAAAATATAATATAGAAATGGCTGATTTCACAGTGAAAAACATATAACAACATGTACACATACCAAATGAAGGGAGCTCTGTGATTAGCTCATACACTTTATATGTACGGTCTTTGCTGGAAAGAGAAGATAAAGAGCTTCAATTTAGTGCAATAAACATGCAAATTAAAGGTAGTTAAGGAAAAATTATGAGCACTTAAACGTTGTGCAATACACGCATGCGTGCATATGTACGCGTGCGTGCACGTACACTCATGCGTGCACATACACGCGCGCGTGCACGTACACACATGCGCGCACATACACGCGTACGTGCACATACACGCGTGCGCGCACATACATGCGTGTGTGCACGTACACGCATGCACGCACATACACACGTGCGTGCATGCATGCGCGCACATATACGCATGCGCGCACGTACACGCGTGCGTGCACATTCACGCGTGCGTGCACATACACGCGTGCGTGCACATACACGCGTGCGTGCACGTACACGCGTGCGTGCACGTATACGCATACGCGCACATACACGCGCGCGTGCACGTAAACGCATGTGCGAGTGCACGTAAGGAACTCGGCTGCATGAGCATGGGCAGAGCGTTGGACGTGGATTATAAACCCATCCGATAGATCATTATATTTTGTGGCAAGCTGTTTCTATGAAATGGCTCAAATTAGAGTACTTTTATAAACGAACTCTTTCTGCTTTACTTTGAACGCCTATCTACAGTTAAACATGATTGTATCAGGAACCGGTTCTGTAAAATTCTGTCACACTGCGGGTGCATTTCTAGGCCCGAGGCATGTGTGCTGCACCCACATTGACTATTATAATTTAGCACAGCAGATAATAGAGCAATCTTTTATTCAACAGCATCTGTGAGTCCTCCAGCGTGTCAAACATTAGTGCTATATCATCTGCAAAGTATTTATCGGTTATATAAATGGCAGAATGGCAACCACTTTGTCTTTGCGATCGAGTGAGACTAAGGTGTTCATGTTCTGCTATGGCTGTTCATAGCATAGTGTACAATGATGAATAGGTATGGTGCCAAATGTGTCTCCTCGGAGTACACCAGTCTATAATATCAAAGAATTAAGTCAGTGTTTCCATCATCTGTAATTACTTGCACCACAGTGTTAGTGTACACCACCTTTAGGAATTCCGTATGCGAGTAGGATTTCAGAAAGTCAACAAAAGTACAAATTTTAATATAATTATTACTACTAATAATATATGAAATAAATGACACATTTCATGAAGTCAACAAAAGTACAAATTTTAATATAATATTACTAATAATTATATATGAAATAAATAATGAAATACGTAATAAAATGAACGGCATGTAATTTATTTAGAATAAAATAAAATAACCAATATATAATACTAATTATCATCAAATAATATTATAGATAAACTGCAAATTAACTGTTATCTATTTATCGAACCTATTGTATAAGATAATGGTATTTTCTAATATTATTTGGTATTCTGATCAGGTAATTGATAATTAATATTTTATTACGCATTATATAGTCATTGCCACTCATGTATGCGTGAGTATATATCTAGATATAGATATATTGATTGAATTGTGTGTAATTCCTTATCAAAATGCAATGCCGTCACGTTTCTTGTATTAATAGTGACCGCTCAGAATCCTGGGCAACCGTCGCTTCCTCCCGCAGCATCCTAACTACATAGTGTCACTTTGCGCTTGATACACACATACACATTAAAACTCGCCCGTTTTGTGACAAATGCGTGTATCACTGTGTATCATTTTGTTTTCTCAGAGAGGTCGCTGCGGTGCGTGTCTAAATTACTAATACACATTAATTACACTGTCTCCGAGGCGTCCGATTAGTATTGATGCGCTGAGCTTACTAGGCATGACCTATATTATGTCTGGCTGACGCATGCGCCATGATTAAGGGAGTGTCTAGCCGCGACGCCGCCTGTCTGAAATGACCCAGCGATATTCAGGCGCGAAAAATCAATGCGACACACAATTGAATCACTCAGCACACAAATACTAACTAGTAGGCCTACATTTGACGCGGGACGATTACCAGTAATATTTCTGCCCTTGTCAACCCACGATACACAGGTGAATCTAACTTGCCGATGCGCCGCCCCGGTTATTGCATCGTTTCCTTATTACGTCGCGTATTCATTAGGCATCGTAGTCGTTTCACGTCTCGCAACGTTTCGGTATTAGGTCGTTTGCCCGTCACCCGTATAGTAAGTACTGATCACCAAACCAAATTACTCGAGACAGACACTATACTGTGATAAAACAAATGACCTCGCGTGCACACACTCTGTGCACGTTAAAATGACCAATAACTTCTATAAGACATGGTCACTCTCGATGGTCCTTCTGGTAGATATTTTCTTCTAGTTTCGTGTGAAATAAATAGTTCCGTTGCAATATTGAAGAATCGGTTGTCAACCGACTAATCGTTATATCTGACCTAGGCGATGAGAAATGATGATGAATGAAAATGAGATATTTTCGTATAGTTTTGTGTCAATAATTGCGTGCAGAATAAATCGCACTAAATAAAATAGCTACTAAACAGCAAGCAAAAGTTATTTTTTTCAAAACGTTGATTTATTGTTTTTGGCAGGACTACCTATATTGGGCATATTTGGCCATATTTAGCCTACCTATATTTGGCAGGACTACCTATACCTATATATATATATATTGCGCATATTTGACATTTGCACATTCAACTCGAGTATTTTGTGCAGTGAGAAACACATTTTAGCTAAATATATAGCGCTGAATTTTCATTCTTTATCTTCAGCTAATGACAGATCCTGCAACGATTCTCTAACACTACTGTCGAACTTTCGGTATATATATATATATATATATATATATATATATATATATATATTGAAGCGCGTACACCGAGGCGTAATCAGAAGTCTCGTGCCTCTTTGGTGGCGTGTCCTCGTATGTTAACGTCACGAGGACTATATAAAGTCTAGCCTAAAATACGCTGGGGAGTCATAGCATGGCTTTCAACTGGATATTGAAAATGGTTCCAGTGGCTTTGCAAAAGCCATTCTCCTTTGTCCCTTGCGCACGCAAAGCGTGGTTCCATCACGGTAGAATTTCGACGAATATTTTTTTTTCGTAAATTTGACTTGCATGGCCGATTCCCGCGTGTCTCGACCATGCATTGTGATAACAAGTCCACTTCTGACAGTATGAAATGCGTAATATGCTCTTGTAAGGGGAGATTGGTCAATAATTATTCGAAAGGTTCAGTCAAGACATGCGTGATAACCGCACTCGATCTATGTTTATTGTAGCAGCTCGTAATACTTGCGCGCTACGGAGGACGCGACAGACATTATACCACTAACGCGTCAACATGTGTGTAAACGAACAATGATTGTGATAAAGCAGTGGAGTATACTATTGTTTATCATTTGCCTCATTTTAATTATAAATCCATTACACTGATTGAGTGTAGATAATTTATGGAATGCCGAAGTAAACGCAAATAAAAAGCATCTTGAATTAAGCGGGAAAACTGAATTAAATAGAATGAGCAGGAGGGTTTATCGGTCGAGTAAAGGTTGGTAAATTCAGATAAATGCGTTTTCAAGTATGGCACACAACTATATGAATAAAATGAAAACAAATGTTTTATTTTTAGAGGTAAACGTTTTATTTGCAGGAATGTTTTGACATTTATACAACTTAGAAATATTAAAACTGGGTTTATTACAAAATAAGTGTTTGAGAAAACGAAAACCGGACTTGATTAACACATATTTCGTATGTCCATATCTACCGTGTGCATGATTTACCATTATTATATTAACGATCTACAGCTACCAGTCTATACTACTGCGTTATACACAGAAGCAAATGAAACAAAAAAGTTTGTATATAGCTATGAATTTACGTTCGCGGAATCTGTAATATCATGCGTTATCTCGTTCTTGGATTTATATTCCAAAGCTATATAGATAGAAACTTAATTTATGTTAAACTGTTATAACCTTTATTAACGTTGTTAGATTTTGATACTTACCAGACTACAAATCTGGTAAGATGTTTATTTTTTTATTTTTTTTATTAATTTGTACTGTATATTATAACAGTAAATTGCGAGCAATCATGTAGTACTTTAGTAAAGTTGTACAAACGCTTAAGATTGACATATTTAATTTGTTTTTAATGCAATGTGTTTTTTAAACAAATTTTCGTAGTTTTTTTTAGGTGCGTTTGTGACACATTTTTCTCCGGACACATCACGTTTGCGCTGCATGGATGCGGCGGTTTTCAACCATGTGGTTGTAGAGGATGCGTAAGTCCGACAATCTATTTGACGGGCACAACGGTGGGCAGGTCAAATCCGCTGTCACCGCCACTTAGTGAGCACACCGTACAGGCGCACGCTACCGGCTGCCTGTAGGTGTGCACGATTTCGTGTCCATTGTCACACTGCAGGACAACCTCAGCGCTCTCCTGCAATAAACAGAGGCAAAACGATTAGCTGATCGACATCCGAATTCAAAGATACATTTTTGTAGAAAATGCAACTCAAAACTTGACTCAGTATGCAACTCTTATCATTATTTCGCGCGTCCATTTAAAATTCCGTTCTGAGAAACAATAAGGGGAAGGTTAAAGCTCGTCTCTTTTGTAAATGGAAAAGAAGGTTGTCATTATCTGTGGCGCTAGCTTTGCAATTAATGAAATGAGATACCTATTTAACAAGATATATGTGATAACAAAGATGCACAACAAGGAACAACATAGAAGGAAAGATAACAAGGAAAGCATAATAACCTCTTTCGTAACAGTGCAGCACTTGCAGTCCGACTCAAAATCATTTATCATCGTGTTAAAAGTGGAACTGGAATCGCAGGTTCCACCACATTCTTTCATTCCATAAACCGGTCTCTGGTTCCTACAAGTGGTACCACCTTCGGCACGCACCACAAACCGAACCTCCTTACCTACTACTGGACGCGGTTCACATGTGCTTGCTGGAAAACACAAAGAAAACATTACTTATCCAGGAACACCCTGGTAATAAATATAAATAAGATGTTTGTTATTATGTAAAATTTTTAATACAAAAAAGGCGTTTTCTGTCGTATGTTTCCTTGTTTATCCAGAAAAGGTTTTATTGAGGATAAGAAACTATTTACTTGAATTATTAATTATTGTAAGGGAAACAACTGGTGTATAGAATAATTCCATTACAATTATTCGGTACTGAATAGTAAACACTTTCACCATGCAGGATTTAGTCATTTTGAAAAACAGGAACTCTACAATGGTAAACTGCAAATTCCAGTATTGATCCCTTGGAATAGATGTTTGAAGTAAGCGCACAATTTACAATACGAAAATGCGGGGAGACTCAACTTACGCGGATTGGTGATAATTGGTATATCCGTGCATTCGTAACAGCAGCCTGAGCTATCTAAGATTTGCTGTTCCTGAAAGAGCAAAAACAAACACTTTTGTAAGTATACCAGTACTAGAACATTCCGAAACGCTAATTGTGAACACCATCTAACAACAAATTGAGCAGTAAACCGAATCCTTTTGCATCTATCCCTTTATCTTAATAATTCAAACTAATTTGTTTGTCGTGTATTTGCTAAAATAAAATAGCGAAAGGAACGCCAAAGTACGCTCTCAGCTTACCCTAGGACACTGTGGAGGTGAACACTCCTTGTACTGCTGTCTAACCTCACCATTTCTTCTGCATTCATTTATAACGCACTCAGATTCTGGACTGGTCCAGGTCTCTCCAACCTACCGCAAGTAACAAGAGCATTTCATCTGAGAGTTGCACAAAACTTTTGGCACGAAAATTATACTACGTAACTATTTTGCTATATTTTTGTTTTCAGAGTGTAATTGTTTATACTGTCAACGATGCTTAATGATTGCCTCTGACATTAGCAGAGAAATCTTCGAATGAACTATCGTATATATGTATGATAGTTCACTCGAACCATGAAAAACTTAATGCATCAATGACCTACCTCGTAAAGTTTGCCATTGTCCTCACACTTGTCCCTGATACACTCACCGCAGCAAATATTGCGTTCAGGTCTTGGTGGAACGTATATCTCAGACTATAAGAACAAAAGGAATGCAAATTTCCTTGAATTATCACTTCTGTAGATGGTAGATATATTATATAACAATATTAATATATATAATATTATTATTAATATAAACACTATAAACAGTCGTGGAGCTAAGGAACATATAGAAGACCGGATTGGTATGGCAAGCATCTGACGTAATATTCTAACTATAGCAATAATATTGCGAATCATGCATGACTCACTCGCTTGCAGTCAGTCTTGCACGAGGTTACACTCAGCAAGGCATAGACTCCGGTACCGTCAGGATTTGGCTGACAACTATATAGCTTGCATGGGTCTCCATCCGGTGAAGGCCAAGTTTCATGCTCCTGTGAGAGTTGGAGCACGTTCAATAATGCAATATTCTTGGTACATTTTCAGAATATTACTTTAATAATCTACGCTTTCGGCGTAAGGCAAACGTGATTAAATTAGATTGATGACTTCGCGGGATAACAATAATAATAAAGAATAAATGCGTTCACAATTAACTTAGTAAAAGCTGAAAATCAATTGCTAAAACGAAATAAACGTTTCTCATTTAAATTCAACATCCTTGACCTTTGACTTGAATCTTTTAATGATGGCCTTGGTGAATGTAGCACCAATCATTTTCACAAGGAAACGTTTACGAAAATAAACCACTCTTACCAGATACACGTGCTCGTTGAACTTGCACCTCATCTTGACAACGTCCGGGCAGCATTTGCCATGTGTTTCTACTGGTTCATATTCCTGCAATTAAGAATCAAGCGATAAATGTAGATAAGAGCTATAGGTAAAAATAATTTGTTAAGAGTAATTCGTCTGCGATAATTAAGGAATTTTACAGTTATATGTACATCTGCAATTCATCTACCTCCGTTATTTTCGGACATTTTTCGATTTCACAGACGGGATCGTAGAAGTTATCAGCAGGGCCTGGTTGCCTCTTCACACATTGACAGTGCTTACATAGTCCGTCATTCCAGGTCTCATTGGGCTGAAACATAGTTAATAAGTTTGTTATGTAGACCTTTCCTCGCACATGCGTTATACATCTATACTAAAATTTACTAAGGATCAATAAAAGAGAGGAGACCAAGAGGCGCACCACCTAGTCAACATGCATAGAGTGGATGGCGTGGGTCTGAGACGAGGATTTCACGAATGAATACGCGACGATTTACACATATTTTTGGGATATTTACATTTGTTAGGCTTTCATTGAAGTTTTCCAACATATAAAAGAACACTTTGTTAATCAGTATACCAGTGACTGTCCATGTTAATGCACCCATTATAATTGCGGATAGCATATTCCAGTCAATAACAACAGTGTTGGACAATGAATCGATAGTTGTTTCCAGATAACGCGAGCAGGAGATGCTTCTGATAGCAATGGTAGCGCGTAATGTTTAAAACCAGGAGTGAATAAAAGCGCAAAAAATAAATTTATTCACCCATGATGAAATGAATTGGAAGACCAACATATATTAACGAATGGTGATTGTAATCTTAAGCGACGTTCGGACTTCTAGCTGGTACATTCTGTCAAGAATTTACCCGCATTATTTGGATATATACCTCATACTCAACGACTCGATCCCTTCCTACAACGGTTTCATTGTACAGGCACTTGTTTGCTGGATAAACTGGAAAGGAAATTTACGCCTAATATAAATAAATAAATATATAGTTAAATAAATCGTTAAATAAATAATTGATAAAAATAAAAAATGAGTATGTGGTTGTGCGTATACGCGTGTGCGCGTGTTATAGTGCGCCTGTGTGTCCCTGTGTGTCCTTGTGGGTGCGTGCGTGCGTGCTCAGGTCCTGCGTATTCACGTGTGTGTGTGTGTGTGTGTGTGTGTGTGTGTGTGTGTGTGTGTGTGTGTGTGTGTGTGTGTGTGTGTGTGTGTGTGCATGCATGCTAACGACCTCGTGTACGCGCGTGTCTGTAAGAAACTGTGTCAACTGTGTAACTAAATTATCTACAAAAGCACGGTAATGATTCTAGAGAACCGTATCATCGTATAATAAATTCGATAAATTTAAGATTCGCACATACCATTATGTCATAAAACAAGATGTGTGCACCAAAAAACACGACATTCTTAGAGACTGATATTGAATCAATATACATATTATTTACATACTTTTTATGGTCTCCATTACTATTGCAATTATAGAACAAGAATGGCTATGTATAAAGTATATACAATATATTATATTACATATATATATATATATATATTATATATATTATAACTAAGTATACTACTCACCGCAATTGTACGTTTCACAGCACTTATCAGGGATCTTTTGCTGTTCCAGAACAAAGCCACCTGTGCATACAGGTGGTGCGGGGCACTGATCTGGTACACACACTTTAATGTACGTCTCACAGCAGTAGTTGTTGTCTCTCTGTAAGACCTCTCCTATATCCAGCTCTGGGGTTTCGGGAAGAGGGCACATTGCGTCTGGAGAACATTCTAAAAATTGAGAAACAATGGATAAATGAAGAAAGCTAGGTGAAAATCTTTAGGGAATACCGATTATTGCTGCCAAAGGTCAGATCTGAAATATTTTCAATTTCAATCTTTCGAGGTCGATGTAAATCGGGGGGCGGGATTCACAGTTTCCGCGGTGAATATCAAATTATCAATACATTAGTCCAAGAGTCACATCATCGAAAAATAATTCAATCGAAAAAATACACATAGCGTCGGAACGGATCTGCACTGCCAATATATAACTACCTAATAGTCAGGTCCACTGCGAATGCAAATGGACATAGATGCGAATATTCTTTCGACATATACGATACAAAACAACGATATAGCGTACTGCATTCGAAATAACGACAGCATCCTCCCGCATTGACGACCTCCACTGGCACTTGATCAAACTCGCACTTTGGTACAACGATCGGTGGGCATGTATTGGGATTGCACACTGCAACACACACGAGGAACAATGAATGTGAGCAAATTAAAATTATATCAGAGGATACTGAGTGTTTATATATATATAATTATATATTCCAAGTGGTTATTTGTAACAACCTACAGCAGATAAATCAACCTCGTTTTATATACCACCATCTCATTTACTCTACAAGCTATATATATATATATATATATATATATATATATATATATATATAGTACGTACACGCGCGCGACACACACACACACGACACCACGTACCGACGACCGACGTTACCAACGGTCCCGTACC